AGATCGCAGAGGCTCCTCAATGGAAGCACCGATCTAAAGCGTTCGGGCTGGGTCCTCCGTCGATGCCGAGATGGAGACGATCTCTTCTGTGGGCGCAGCTCGCTCCTCGCTCTGCTCCGTAGGTCGCTCCAGCTAGAGGTCGTCGGCCACCTTGGCTTTCCCTTTGAGGGCAGCGACGTAGCATTTGCAAGACTCAAGCTGGTCACCTCGTGTTATCCCAATTCCGAAGTCCGTAGGGAACTTCTTGGTCAAGTAGTAGGTGGATACCACAGCTCGTAAGGCATGGGTGATCGGCCGACCTACTATGGCATTATACGGGGAGGGGGTTGCGACCACTAAGAAATCGTGGTTGAGTATCACTATGCTAGGCCAAGTTCCGACTTCCACAAGTACTATGATCCTTCCCAGGGGCCTAACTTCCTCTTCGCTGAAGCCTACCAGGGGGTGTTCGCGGGCTTCAAGTCGCTCTCTTGGAGTTGAAGTTGAAGTTGGTCGAAGGCTGCTTTGAAGAAGATGTTTGTTGAGCTGCCTGAGTCGACGAGGACACACTTGACTTCAAAGTCATTGATCTTCCATCCTTGGCTGCTTCAGGGGGTTTTGTTCCTCCCTGGCACCCTCGCGAGCTGATGTCCGAGCTGCGGCTGAGGTGCAGCCCGCCACAATCGATCCTCCGACTATCACGTGGATGGTCCCCCGAACTGGTTTCTCTTCGGGGGGCTGCTTTTGCGGCTGTTCTGCCTACCTGCTAGACTCGGGAGTGTCTCTACTCTGCTCCCCATGTCGACCTGCTTTATTATTATTATTTTGTACAAAATTTCTCAGATACTCGCGGCGAATGAGCTCCTCTATCTCGTCATGGAGGTTTTTACAATTCTCGGTGCTGTGACTGTGGTCTTTATGAAAACTACAATACAAATTTTTATTTCTAACATTAGGGTTTGCCTTCAGCCGAGGTGGCCACTTCACATACGGGGCGTCCTTGATCGCCATGAGGATCTCGGCCCGCTTCGTGTTGAGGGGTGTGTTGTCCCTTTCTACTGCTGGAGCTCGGAAATGCTGATTTGGCTTTGCCCCCCGAGCTTGGTCCTTCTTCTTCTTGCTGTCACCCTGAGTTGGGGGCTCTGGTTCCCTTTTCCTTTTCTCGAGGGCCTGCTCGCCCTTCTGGTTGATCTCTTCCTCCATCCCAATAAACTAATCTGCGAGCTTGAGAAACTCGGTCACGGTCTTGGGCTGATTGACGACCACGTGCCACTTGAACTCTTTGTGGGTAATGGCTACTGGGCTACTGGGCCTGAGAGGCTTCTCCCCGGCGAGGTCGTTCGCTCCGGCGAGAGGACTTGGCTTGCTTCGAGGTTGGATGCCTAGGGGAAGTGGCTACTGGGCCTAAGGCAAGGAAGGGAACTGCTGCTGATACTGGTACTGAGAGACCTGATGCAGCACTTGTTGCTGGTAGAGTTGGAATTGCTGGAATTGTTGCATTTGACGTTGCATGGCTCGCATGCACTGCAGTAGGTCTTCCAATTGATTCTGGTTGGTCACTGGGGGCACAATCGAAGGTTCAGCAAAGGTCGCTCTAACCGTGAAAGGGAGTGGAGCATTCACGGGTGCCACTGTGAAAGGCACGTTCAGGCTAGGGATCCCGTCTACAGAGAGGGGAACAATGAACTGTCCGATACAGACAATGGGAAGCTAGGGTTGGTCTCCAGAAGCGTTCTGGTTGGCACCACGCCCGGCGTTGCTGGAGGAGGCCATGAATCCTAAGTTCTCGAAGGGAAAATGTAGAAACTTAGAGGAAGGCTTTTTTGAAGTGTTTCCCACAGACGACGCCAACTGATGTTGCACAATTTGGGCACTCCTAACTGGCAGCTGACTGGCTCCTCACTGGTGGCAGACGGTACCTGAGAAGAAGATGGTGAAGGATTCCTGGGGGACTTGCCCAGTGGGAATACTCCGATGCTTAAGTTAGAACGCTGGAGAAAGCAGTAAAGAGTGTAGGTCGCGCTAGATCACTGAGCTCGAGAGAAAGTTTGAGATATTCAAGTATTCGAGAGAGAGCCCTTCCCTTCAACTAGGGGGCTCTTATATATGAGCGTTCTTGTCAAATCGGGCGTAAATGCCACTGGACCTCTGTCAAAGTCGTTATCTGCCAGGCCTGCGCAGGTGACCATTGCAGAGTTCTACCCAATCGGATGAGTGACATGTCCCGAAAAGACAGATACGCCACCATCTGTCGAGAAACGTGGGCGCAGTCTTGTCGGGCTGGCAGGGACTGCGCCGTCGGTCAGGAGACGTGGTGCATGCTGACGGGTACAGTCTTGTCAGATAGAAGCTTCCTGATAACATCGCATTGCTTAGTAGCGAGTTGTCTTGTAGCGAGCTATCCCGCAACAAGTTGCCTTATAGCGAGCTCTTAGGGATACTTCGAGGTGATTCCTCTTAAGGTTGATTTTGGGGCAGTTTTTATGCCTAAGTATTGGAGCGAGCTAGTTATCCTAGCCCGCGAGCTGAAATAAACTTTGTCTTGGCGTATTCCCTTTCAGTACATCGGGGGTCCTCGAGCTCGCACTGTAGCAAGCTCACCCTATGGCGAGTTATGACGTAGCGAGCTGTCCTACAGGCCCGTTACTTAGTCGCAGTCAAGCTGTTGTGCTAAGTTGTTAGTTGTGCTTAATCATGTCCACGTGTCACCGTCCAAAAGGATCAGGTCAAATCACCATCAGTAATTCCAAGAATAAGGCGGCTTATTCCTTAGCTAAGTTTGACTTGTCTTGTTATTCAGGTTGTACCTAGTCATCTGTACCGGAATTCTTGAAAAAAAAAATTATAAAAGAAGAGTCTACCGAGACTTTAAGCCTTTTTCTCAAAAAAAAAACCCTCAATACAGGCCCCATTGGAGATTTGAAGCATCGTAGATTCATAATTGATTCCACAAACCGCAACATAATTAAAATGTTTATCTAATGGAAATTCCATCCCACCGCGAATGATTGAACGAAAATCAAAATCCCATTTTTTTCTCAATCAAAATGAGCTATTCCAATTCCAATTCCATATCCTATTCCCGCAAACCAAACAGACAATGAAATTTTATGTCCCCATTATAATTGGACTTATAACCATGACGGCTCTAGATTTTTTTTTTTTTTTTTTTTTTATTGAGTGAAATGGCAGTTCTATACTCACTGTCTTTTGACGAACAAGTAATCGATTGGTGAAGACAGAATAGTGATTTATCATAATTTACCACAAAAAGACAAAACAACAAGTCATTCAACTCAGTCATTTCCGCCAGCATCAAACAGTTACCTAGGCTATAAAATACTTTATACTCTTGGTTGTATTTAACAGGGGCACTGTTGTCTTTTCATTGATTTGAATTGGTAATACAGGTGGACGAACGATTCTTCCTGGTTTATTTAAGTGTTTGGAAAGAAAAATTCCAATCTAGTGGCCTACTACAGAGGATTCACTTTTACGAGTGTAGAGCAGGGGGTCAGGGGGGGGAGCTTTATACGATGAGGCTGAGGTGAGGATACCAATACGAGCACGGAACACAGTCGGGAAAGCAGGAGGAAGGAAGGTCGGGAAGTCTCGCAATACAAAGCACTGTAGGAGGGCGGCGGGTGACTTCAGATTGTCGTCACGCGCGATCCCTGCGAGATCTCTCGGTTGCCGAGCTCTCTCCCCCTCTCAGAATTCCATTAACAAACATTTTTCTTTCTCTCAGGATATGAAAACGAAAAGCTTTTTTTGCCTTTTGATTTCTGTTCCAGGTCAACCATACTCCGGTTCGCCAAACCCAAAACCAAAAGAATCGGACGCTTCAACTGCTGAACCGCAACTCGAACGTTTCCATCCTCTGCACCTGAACGGATCTGGCCGGTCTGACCGGACCAGTCCGGCGACTGCTGCCGCTGCAGGTGAAAAAGAGAGGCGTTGCATGAAGCCAAAGTTTTTACTTGGGAGAAGATCATGGGGGCGATATTTTGGTTTTACTTGGAAGAAGCTTGACACCTAGCTAACACCTTGAAACGGGAAAGTTGACAGATGCTATTTTCGTCTACTTATTATTAAAACGTAGATTGTATAATTTGTAAATGCAGGAAACAGAGAGGAGAGGAGAGATGATAATGGAGAGAGAGAGGAGTGGCAGCATGCAGATTGACGAGATGATTTGATGTAAAGCTGCATCGTTGCATCTCAAAATCCGAGCAATGACGCGTCAAAATCTGGGAACGTCAATCCTTTGATGGTGATGGATGGATGGACGGGGGTGATAGATGGATGGATGGATGCATGTATGAGTGGAAATATAAATCATTTTTTCTTAGGACAAGGGGACAGAAAAGAAATAGAAAAATTTAACTAATTTTTGATGGCTGGCCTTTGAGAGGAAGCGCAGCTTGACTCTTCATAATTTTCTCTTTAATTTGGAAGAAACCCATTAATTTAATTATAAGGGAAAATTAAATAATAATTAATTATTCTGAGAAAAATAATTAAGGATTCGATTACTTGTTTAAATTTGATTTCTGAATACAACAAAATGCATAATATAGGCTGTTTGTTTCTGAGATGAAGTACTAAGGTTCACGGTTGTTCAGATTTTTCTTTCTCTTTCCAATTTATTTTCTTGACTCTTCTATAGTCCATCATTCAAAGAATAAAGTTGAGTTGATGGTTTCATTAATTTATGATTTTGATATATAATAATTTATCTATGGGGAGCAATCAGCGAATCAGATCTCCCTCCCATGATCAGAACTGTTGAAGATCAGTGATAATAAACACTTGGAGTCATCTGCCCATCGATCTAAGAACTACACATCAATCTGATTGTAAAATGGTTAACAGTTGATCATTTTATTGTCTAATTACTCCTGTTAATAGAGTTTTATGAATAAAAATGACAAAAGAACCAGATTTTAGACTCTGTAAAGCAGCATAAATCTCTTATTTGAGCTTGTAAAGAGAGGAAAATGAGAACAAAATACAGTGTGAGAGTGGCAGAGAGAGAAAGGAGAGGGCCGTGGATTTACCTTGTCTCTGTCGATTCGATTATTTAATCTGGTACTGTGTGCCTGACGGATGAGATATGAAGCAGCCTTATCGATTCACGAACAAATCCTTCTCCTCCTCCTCAACTCGTCGTCTGTCTCTCTTTTTCTCTCTCTCTCTCTAAACTACTTTCTGTTCTCGCTTTCGCTTTCTTCACTGACAGAGAAATACCTGCACACTTCCTCACGCACGCACGCATACTCAAAGCCAGAACCACCCCCCCCCCCTCCATCAAACCCTTCTCTCTCTCTCCAGAGATGGATATGATAAGGGCTGCAGCTGCAGCAGCAGAAGCACAGAAAGCAGACGAGTACAGAGCAGAAAACGCAGATTTTCCAACCAGATCATACCTTATTATTTCGCCTTCCTCCTGCCACTCAATTCATCAAATCCGTATGAAACCCATATAACACTCCTGAAGCGCACCCTCGTCGCAACACCTCGCAAAGCAAGGAGACAGCCACCATCTCAGCTCTTCTCCTCTATCTCTATAGGCGGCTCACTCCCCCGATCATGCAGTGAAGCGCTGAGCTCTCGTTAGCTCGTGCTTTTGCACCTGGGTTTTGGTTCAAATTTGTTTCTCTTGTTCGTACTTCTGTTATTCGTTCTAGATTTTAATGGGTACGCTATAGTGAAGGCCTTTGTTCTTCTCGTGCTTACGTTTCTTCTGCTCTGCACTTACGATCCATGGAAGTTTTGAAGTCTTGTATCCTATTTTCTTGATTTTTCTGTTCCTTTCAACTATCTCTGGAAGCTTAAGTCCCATCCTCGGAATTCTTAGAAAAGTTAATTCAATTCTCTGCCTTCCACTCAGTAGCTTAAGCAGTTCAGCTTGGTTCTGCAACTAGGGTTAAATGGATAGCTACCACACTTTGGACAACAGCAACGCGCATTTGCCGCCTGGCTTCCGTTTCCACCCGACAGACGAAGAGCTCATAACATATTACCTAGTTAGGAAGGTCCTTGACAGCAGCTTTACGGGCAGAGCCATTACTGAAGTTGACCTCAACAAATGCGAGCCATGGGAACTTCCTGGTATATGCAATTTTTTTTCCTGAAACCCATCAAGCTTTTGGCTTTATATACCCCTAACGTTGGCACTGAAAAATAAATGTTGCAGAGAAAGCGAAGATGGGAGAGAAGGAGTGGTACTTCTTCAGCCTGAGAGACCGAAAGTATCCTACTGGGCTTCGAACAAATAGAGCTACTGAAGCTGGGTACTGGAAAGCCACCGGCAAGGACAGGGAGATCTACAGCTCTCGAATGTGTGCACTTGTGGGAATGAAGAAAACTCTGGTGTTCTACCGGGGAAGAGCTCCAAAGGGGGAGAAAAGCAACTGGGTCATGCACGAATATCGCCTTGAAGGGAAGTTTGCCTACCATTACCTGTCCAGAAGCTCCAAGGTTTGAATCCCTTGATCTCTATCTTCACCCCTTAGGATTCGTTCCTTGCCTGTTTCAGTGTTCATTTTATGTGATTGTGATTTACTTGTTTGATAACTTTGTGGCTTGAGGATGCTATAGAAACTATCTGATTAACTTTGGGTGGTTGTACTTTCATTAATTCTGAGTCTGGTACGTGTTACAGTTAGTTTTTTCGTTGAAGGAGGTTGCACTCAGATTCTACTTCGTTAGATCTGTTACACCTCTCTTGTGGTCTTAATTCTGACAGTGGTAGGTTTTCCAGTTGGTTTCAGCCCACTGGAATGCAACCATGGCTCTTGTGATCGATTCTGCCAGGACATTTTCAGTCAAGTTTTTCAACCAAACTTAACAGTTTGGATGGATAATTTCCTGCTTTTAAGCTTGCTTTTGTGATGATTTTGGTTTTTAACGCTTTGGTCTTTTATCCGTTTTCTGCTTTCAACATTCTGTTAACTCATACCGCATCCCGTGAACGTAGGACGAGTGGGTGATCTCTCGGGTGTTTCAGAAGACTGGCGGTGGTGGCGGCAACGGTGGTACTAGTGGAGGGAAGAAGAACCGTGTTGCCTGTGGCGTTAACCCCTACACCGAAGTTGGGTCTCCGTCCTCGACCTCTCTTCCCCCGCTGCTCGATTCGTCTTCCTACACTGCAACTACCGGCGTCACTGACCGCGAGAGCTGCTCATACGACAGCGAGAGCGTAAGGGAGCACGTGTCCTGTTTCTCCACCGTAGCTGCAGCAGCTGCTGCCGCCGCCGCGGCCACAAATTTCAATCAACAACCACAGTACCACTTGTCCTCACCGGCTTCCATCATGAACGCCGCTGACTTAACCGCCCGGTTCGGAAGGAACGTAGGACTCTCGGCCTTTCCGAGCTTAAGGTCTTTGCAGGAGAATCCTCAACTGCCGTTCTTCTCGTCTATTTCGCCGATGACAGCGATATCTGGCTCCCAGAACCATAACAACGACCTGGGCGGGTGCAGTTCGGCGAGAAACTGGCCGGAATCTGAGCCTCAGAAGATGGAGACAAGCCGGATGCCTTTGGGGGCCACCGAGCTCGATTGCATGTGGACTTACTGATCAATCTCTCTCTCTCTACTACTGTTATTTAGAAGACTTTCCTTTTTCTAGGGTAATTATTATCTTCTAAGTATAAGATGATCTGATATATGACGGATATGTATGTTCATGAGTTCATCTTCTGAATGTCTTGGACTCTTTTAGCTGTCAAAGAATGTCCTTGGTTCTTTTCTGATTCTCATTAGATGTAATCAAAGCTGCTGAACGACGAAAGCTAGTTACTCCTCTAGAGATGTCAACCTATCATGTTAATTATTAGCTATCATTCCTTTTCTCTGAGCTCTCATATTTGCAGTGAATCAGTGAGGATCCCAAGCTAAGATTCGTAATATATAGTGATTTCATTCATGTTACGGTTAAGTTCATCATGAGTTGCATGAGATAGACGGTAGCAGGCTCAGGGCTTCTGCCATAGCTGCGAACAGATACGAAGGAAGAGGCTGAAAAGTCTCATCTCAGGAGTCAGGGCTCCATCTCTCTATGTACTCCATTTGGGTCTACTGTAAACATGACGAGAGTAGGGCTCAAGGATTCTGTATATATAGCTGAGTGCCTGTGCAGTGAGCACAGACATGAAGGGGGTTAGGGAGGTTGGGAGAGGCTGTCAAGCCTCGGGGCTCCATCTCACAACTAGACGATTTGGTTCCACTGTAAACATGATCCTGGCCGTTCAATCATAAAAAATTTTGCTAGATCACTTGAGCTGTAGTCTAGTCTTTCTTTCTCTGATTATTAGGATACTCGGATGGGTTTAATTAACTAGTAGCTAGGTTTGTTTTATATTAAAACATGCCATGTTTGAAGCTTTGAATATGAATCCGAACTCCTCATCGTAGATAGCATGAATGATCTACATGAGCAGAGTCCGCAGCTACTGGAAATTGCAGTGAAACACAAATTTGGCAAGAGACCTGAAGACGATGATAATGTGATATAGCGTACGAAGCAGAAAGCTGATGCATGAAAACTATCTAATTGATTAGTTCCCTTCCCACTTCCCACAAACGGGTTGCATGGGGTAAGGTTTATTGAGTAGATAAGATCATCCCAGGCATTTCAATTGTACGGTTGGGGTAGCGTGTATGCTCAATGTACGGTAGAGATGGGTTTTCATCAATCGGCACATGGGGCCTCTCATGGATAAGACAAGGCATACCATCAGATGGGCCCTGTCATGGGGTACCACGTATGATCTCCATTGGGTTGCTTGCTACACGTTTTGTTGTCGGATGCTTCTTTTGGGTGAAAATGAACCGCTACCTTCCCACGAGGGACTGGTTGGTGTCTGAAAAAATTCTTGAATTTAGAGTGGCGGAGTGGGAGCTATTTCGAGTGTGTGGGTCAGTCCATGGACACAGAGTGGAGAGCACGCGTTGTTCACAGTTAGCATTTTAGTGTAAAGCCTCTCATGTTTGGGAGGGTTTGAGTACTTGTGATAATGAAACTTAATGGGTTTTATCCATGGTTTATGCATGAAAGGATCACCGTTCCAGAACAAGTTAAAAGGCTAAGCTCCAAAGACTAAAACGCCAAAAGCTGGAATGGGTTTATCTGAATCTGGGCTATGGCAGTTTGGCCGAGTTTGTGTCGGTGGGTGAGTGATGATTTGTCTCTATGGATACTTGGGTGGAGGAGGCTTGCTCAGGTCTGAGACTGAGAGAGAGAGAGAGAGAGAGAGATAATGGGTACTTGGGTCTGGTAATTTGCTGCTTTACACAGAATGTAACCATGGAGGGATCATAAAAACAAAGACAATTTTCCATGGTTCTGTATTCTCATCAGCAAGCTCTCACCGACACGAAGCAATTAATTCATGTTGATCATCAGTTGAAGACAGCACCGGCCGGGCTAGGGTGAAGTGCCCATTTTGCCGTGAGCATCGAAGATATGATTCAGTTCGGGAAATGGCCGAGGGGCCTACCGATGCCCACTCTGCTCCTATCGAGGGAACACTGTCATATTGTTTTATGTATGAGAGACAAGTAACCCATGTAATAGCTTCCTACTTTGCTTACAAAAGCATCCATAACTTAGTGGGAAAGTCGCTCTTTCTTTCTGCTCTGCCTCTGAAATCTGGAGGGATCTGCAGACTCATTTATGGTCGAACAACAAGAGCTCATTTAGTTTAAGGAGGTCCCAGATAAAGAATATTTCGTAGGTAGCAAGGCATTGTCTTCACTCTCCATCACATCCTTGATGAGCGTCTTTGCACGTATAACAATGGGAATGGATCCTTTTTGCCTTGTTGCCTGCAGAGTTGCTTCTGAACCTTTTTGTTCTTGTTGAAATAACTGTGAAGATTAATTAACTGAACAGTAATTAAAGGTTTGGTGCAGAAATTCAGGACAGGCATTGCTTCAAATATCTGGGATTGATGATCATTTTCGGAACCAACAACACTATGTTTATGACATTCCACTTCTTTGACATGAATCGGTTAACTAGGGCTGCTCTACTGTTGATGATATTGGAACTTCATACTATTTTTGGTTAGTGGCCTTCGAGGATCAGGTTGAAAGCAATCGGATGAGAAAACTTTCGGTCCTATTAAATTGTATGTACAATCACTTTTAACGGTGGATGATGAATCCACGCCTCTTGTTTTTGTCAAAATTTTCCAATGCTAAATGAGTTGGCTTTAAATCCACCGTGAAATGTTGATAGTACCTACAATTTAACAGGAGCGAAAAGTTTTCTCCAATTTGATTGGATTTCAGATGTTAAAACAAAAACCAGTGTTCCCAAAATTATTGATATGATAAAAAATCAGTGTAATACTAAAATCCAAGAATTGGTCAAATTTATTGATATGATAAAAAATCGTTTGACCTAGGAGGGTAGGAAGTTGGATCGTTCATCCATCTATATGCAAATTCATGGAGTCCATAAATGTTCTATTGCTTTTTTTTTTTAATTGTGGGCAATTTTTCAAGATCTATGCATCTAGGATGGTAGGTCCCTAAGTCCCTTATCCCGCTATTCTTGAAAAAAAAAATCGTTTTTGATCTTAATTTGCAATTTTTAAGATTTTTTACAAATAAAAGTTAAAAACTGAATTATAAAATATAAATTAAAAATAAAATAATATATTTTATGTAAAATATAATTATATTATTTATCTAAAAAATGTGTTTATACACACATACACACATGTGGAACAGTCTGACCCATTTGATCTGGACCATTGAACCAGTGACTCATGATTCGAAGACAAAAACGATTCGACCTTCGGGTCAGTTTTTAAAACGTTGATTAATATGTTTATATTGCATTTTTTGTATTATTTATTTTTTATAAGAACACATGTATATATGTGATGAAAATAGTTAAAGAAAATACCTGCCATAGGTTTGTATTTCCTTTATATAAATTGTTATATTTTTTAAATTTTAATAAATTAAATCGGATCAGATTATATTCAGATATCCAATTATTAATGGAATAGAATTCAAATTTATGTTTATATGATCCAATCAAATCTTCAAATCAAATGTTTGTACTATATATAAGATCAGATTTTGATATACCCTAATTTAAATCCAATCCAATCCCCTTGCATCCCTAGTTATTTCCTATTAGGAGGAACTAATTAAAGTATGGGAAGTGAATAACTTCAAAAGAAAAACTTATTTCAATTATTTGGTCTCGACTATTGGGTTATAGGAGTGGTAGACTGGGTACGTCATTAACCTTTGCCATTTTCTTGATCATGCAATTTTAACGATAGCAAGTTTTGTTGGAAGACATCCCTTGTATCAAGGAGGCCTACGTTAAAGCGCATTAAGATAGGCTTTCACCTAGGTTTCAGCTGGGGATAGCTCATCCCCCTCCCCTAACCCCCATTCTTTGAACCTTACTATGCATGGTGCCTTGGTGGTCCCTGTATCCTATCACTAACAATCTGACATACCAATCACACTGATTAGGTCTAGTGTATAGCACCTGACCCCCCCTATGGGGCTAAAGCCACTTCACCAACATTAAAGAAGAAAAAAATGTTATTCTACCTTATTTTTTCTATGTGATCTCTCTTCGGTGGCTTCTTTTTTTGGATTTTGAGAGAGGGAAAATTGGTGAATGGGATTTTGGTTTCCATCCACTAAAAATCCCATGTTTATTTTTTCAGATTAATGCGGGGGTTACTGAAGTTTATTTTTTTAGGTATCACTTAACCAAGTGGGTAAATAACTTTCTCACCTAGGAGAAAGGTTGCTAACATTTGAATGAGACAAAAATGCCCCCTTTAATAATGGATTTTTATGACTAAAATGATCATTACATTATTTATCTCAGAAATAAAAGAACATTGGTAAATGCACTTACCCGGGTAAATGTTTCTCAAGAAAAACTTACCTAGGTAATTGCATTTACTCAGGTAAGTAACTTGTCGAAAAGTGAACAGGGCCTTAGTATTTTCTTTTTAGGTTTATCCCTCACCCTTTACCACCTGAATTGCATTTAGGTTTCGTTCTTTTTTGGTAAGTTACTTTCCCGAGTAAATGCAATTACTTGGGTACATTTTTCCTGGAAAACACTTACCCAGGTAAGTGTATTTACCCATGTTTTTTTATTTTCCAAGTAAAAAAAGGAAATGATCATTTAGGAGCATTTTTGTCTCATTCAAGTGTTGGAAACTTTCCCCCCTATGTGGGAAAGTTATTTACCCCTATGAGATGAGTATCAATTACTCAGGTAAGTGATACCCAGGAAATTAAATAAACTTTCCCTGTTCTCTACATTTATCTGAAAAGAAAACATATGATTCTTCATTAATAGGAACCAAAATCTCATTGACCAATTTGCCCCTCTCAAAATCCAAAATAAGAATACCCCCTTAGATTTATGAGAAAAAAAGATTAGAATTAAAGGGTCGAAATTATTATCTTAATTTTATATCCTTGTTCACTTTCACTCTTTCATGGGAACAAGTGGAGGACCATGGCTAGCCAATGGAAACACTGTCACACAACCTATCAAACATAGGTATATGATTTTATTATTCTCCCTTTCTATGTAAATCCGGACAAAATGAAAGTGTACCTAATTTGGATTTGTTGTACTATGATTCATACTCTACACGATGTAAGATCTGAACTTTTTATCTCATTTTCATCCATTTGCTTATGCAAATATTTCACCCCAAAAACTAATGAAAGATTTGATGAGTTTGAATCTACTACACCTTGTTTTTTTCTCTTTTTCCCTTTGCTGCACTAGCTAGGCATTAATCAGGACTCTGGATCTGCTACAAACAAGATGTGCACAGTGCACCATAAAAC